ATCAGAACCAGAACCAGAACCTGGTACTGGGTCATGTTGTGTTGGAGGATTTTAGTCAGTAAAATCATTCCAGGTTCTGATCAAAGTGTTGAAGCATCAATCATTGATTATTGATTTGTTCCTGTCAGATTCCAGGAATTCACTTTTCTAGACTGGGTTGAATGACCTTTGACCTGCTTGACATGAGGGGGATTTCTACACACTGGGGGTCCGAATGCTGTCCTGTTCTGACCTCAGGTCAGCAGGTCCAACTCAGTTACACAGAGGGACTAAATTAAACTCTGGATCCAAGTCCAGGAACAAACTCAGAAAATATTTATTAGAACAGAAGATATGAACTTTGATTTATGATCAATTATATATAATTATTCACAGAAATATCAATTATATAATTACATACAGAAATCTCTCCAGTCTGCAGCCTTCAGTCTGTAGAAAACCACAGAGCTCCTTCACTCCACAACCTTCCAGGTTGGTGTAGCTCAGTTCCAGTTCTGTCAGATGGGTCGGGTTGGACTTCAGAGCTGAGAACAGGGACATCCAGCTGGTCTCTGACAACCTGCAGCTCTTCAATCTGAATAAAGAATAAAAGATGAGCTGAAGCCAACAGGATGCAGTTAAAACTGAAATATGAACAAATAAATAATAAAATGTAGAAAATTAATTTCCCTGAATGTAAAAGAAACATGATGAACTGATTCTAACATCTGATCCAGTCAAACTGGTTTAAAGAGTCCAAACCAGCAGAACCAGAACATTTGATCAACAAAGAAACTCAAAGTTTTCTATGAGCAGCAGCCTGGATGAGGTGAGCTATTTCTGCTGGTTCCTGATCATCAGCTGGAGACCCGACTTGGTAACCGGATCAGAACCACTCAGTTTATTCATGAATGGCCTTGGGTTCTTCTTAAAGCTGCTGAAAGCCAATGGAGGCCATTATTTCCTCAGGAGACGTGACCTGATGAAGCTTCATCACAGAGACGAGGCTCCAACCGACTGACAGCTGTCAGACTGAAGAGGACGGTTCCTCTCTGACCCGGCCCAACAGAACCACAGCTTCCGGACAAAGTGAAGAACCTGCTGCTGCAAACCTCACTGTCATTCAGTTCATCTAGATTTGCTTTTCTACAATCAGTCACTTATTAGATGTTTCATTAATGATGATTTGAACTGGTCAGTGTTTGTGGCTCAACTGGAGGAAAACATTTCATTCTGGATGTAAAAATGAGAATCAGAAATAAAACAATCTGAATCTTTACCAACCAAACTGAAACATCTCCATCGTTAATCAACATTTGAATTATTTTACTCATTTTTGTTCATCAGTTAAAAATATTTTAAAGTGAAAAACTGAAAAACAAAGTTCAATAATCTCAAAATCTGAAATAAGAAAATAATTCATTTATAAGGTAAAATGGTTTGAGATTTTATTGTAACCTTTAAAGAAGTTGTTTTAAAAGAAAATATATTAAAATAAATTTATTAATCAAACTAAGGATTAATGTATCAATGAATAATTTTATTGTATAAATAGTGAAAACAAACCTCAGTTTCTTCACTTTACTGACTGAACTCTCCAGGATCTCAGACACATTCTTCATATCAGAGTCTCTACCTTCATCTATGACAATTCGACTTATTTCCAGTTCAGTCAGCTCTGGGTTGGACTTCAAAGCTGAGACCACAACTTCACATTCAGCCTTATCAAGCCAACAGCCACCAAGTCTGTGATGAGAGAAGAAATAAATTCAGTTCTAATGAAATCAATCTGGATCATAAACGGAATAAAATATGATAACAGTGATGTATTAGTGATCTGATCAACATGTGATCTTCAGTTTACTGAATTTGACCCGACAGAGAGTCTGTGCAGTTCCTGACTAAAGTCCAGGTTCTGGTTCTGGTTCTGGTCCAGGCTTCATGTCCTCAGACCTTCAGCTCAGTCAGATGTTGAAGATCTTCTATCATCTGTGAAGGAAAGTTCAGTTTTCTCTGAAGGATCAGAGCCTTAAAGGAGCTGCAGCAGCTGATGAAGAGGCTGACTGAGCTGAATGAAGGAAACTACTGGAGATGATGGAGAGGAGGAGGAACTGCTCACAGCTCTGACTCACACTGACTTGGACTAGACCGTTTGGCTCCTTGAGATCTTCCACCAAGCAGGAAGTGAGTTATAAATGAAGTGAGCAGAGCAGGAAGTCCAGCCTGCTGTGGACCTCTGGCATCTCTGGGTTTGTTTAGCCCATATCTGCTGCTGCAGCATCTAGAATCCTCCTCATCATTAATAATAGTTTATTCTATAGAAACATGGCTCCCAGCATCAGCTTTAAATGCTGCCACAGAGGAAACTGGGAGCAGACCAGACACATGATGCTCCCAGTTGTGTCTCCGTTCATCTGCTGGATTTGATGCTTTAGCAAAGCTAAAAGCTGCAGATTGTTCTGGTCGTCCTGCAGAGCAGCAGCAGAACCGGTCCTGCTGCTCCTTCAGGTCTGGACCGTCCTCTGTTGGTCTGAGAGGAACTGGGACAAACTGGTTGGAATATGGACACATGTCTCTGCAGTGGTCTGTCCATCGTCTCAGAGGAACAAAGGTTTGGATGTCAGAAGAAATTGTTGCTCCTAAAGAGCTGAAGAGCAAAACCCCTGGAGGAGACGGAGCGTTTGGGTCCAGCAGCATCTTCATGGTGAAGCAGTGAAAGTTCTCCAGAACTAAAGGTGCTGGGATGTCTAAAGAGCTGAAGCTCATGTCTCTGCAGGTCTTCATGGAGGACAGCTGACAGCTTCAACAAAGGCTGCAGATAAAGAGTTGATGAGGAAAATGGTTCCAGCTCTGGAAGCAGAGTTCTCAAAACTTTGGGAGGATCTGACAGAAACTAGGACTTTTTCTGGAACCAGACAACAATCACCACATTTTGGTCTCAGTTACAAACTCAGAAGAAACTAGGGGAGGAGGAAGAGGAGAGGATGATGACGGGATGAAGAAGATCAACACTGTTCACAAAGTTTATAATTAATACAACGGTTTATTTTAATGGTTCAACTTTCCATCAAACCTAAACAATTATTTTATAAAAACAGTCAAAAATCCTCAAAGGTGAATTATGGAGCAGCAGCTCAATGAGTGAAGAGAGTTTAAAGTTTAAAAAGTCTCTCTGGCTGATTGGATCTTAGAGAAAATAGAAATTTTCTAGAGTTCTCAATGTTTTCTATTCATTTCAACCTGAAAACTGATGAAAAGTTAAATATTTTTAAATGATCAAAATGTCCCAAAACCAGAAGTTGCAGCTGTCCTGGATGAACTGAATGTTTAGATGTTTGAATGGCTGAAATCATCCAGAGGATGAAAGAAGTAAAGTCCAAAACCATCCAGAATCAACTTGAAGAAAGAAGAAGAAACATGAGGACAATAGTGCTGAATCAGCATTCACACAACGAAAACATTTGGACTCACCGAGCCTTTCTGTAGTTCCTCACAGCTGGAACCAGTCTATGTCGTCCATCCCTTGATGTGTTGTACTTCTCCAGGTCCAACTCATTCAGAACCTCTGACATCTGCAGCATGAAGGCCAGAGCTGAACAGTCACTCACTGAGAGCTTCTTTCTTGAATCCAGCAGCTGTTGAATCTCCTGATAAAATGAGACATCGTTCATCTCCTCCAGACAGTAGAAGATGTTGATGCTTCTGTCAGGAGAGATTCTATCAGTGTTCATCTCCTTCAGGTTGGTGATGATTCTCTGGATGATATCTGGACTGTTCTCTGTCTGACCCAGCAAATCTTCTAAGAGTCTCTGGTTGGACTCCACAGTGACACCATGAAGGAAGCGGACAAACAGGTCCAGGTGGCCATTTTCACTGCTGAGGGATTTCTCCATGACTTTCTTCATGAAGTCATCTAGAGATGTTTCATTGTATTTTTCTACCAGAAACATTTTGATGACCTCTGACCTCCTGCTGGTGAAGCAGTGGAGCATGTAGATGGCAGCCAGAAACTCCTGGATGCTCAAATGAAGAAAGCAGTAGACTGGTTTCTGAAAGATCACACTCTCTCTTTTGCAGATCTCTGTACAAACTCCTGAGTACACCGAGGCCTCTGTGACATCCAGACCACACTGCTCCAGGTCTTCTTGGTAGAACATGATGTTTCCTTTCTCCAGATGTTCAAACGCCTGCCTCCCCAGCTTCAGAAGATCTTCCCTGTCAGCCTCCATCAGCTCCTGTGGACTTCTCTCATGTCCTCCATGGTACTTGTTCTTTTTTCTCTTTGTCAGGACCAGCAGGAAGTGTGAGTACATGTCAGTCATGGTCTTGGGCAGCTCTCCTCTCTGCTCTGAGGTCAACATAATCTCCAGAACTGTAGCAGTGATCCAGCAGAAGACTGGGATTCCACACATGATGTGGAGACTTTTTGATTTCTTGATGTGGGAGATGATTCTGCTGAACAGCTCTTCATCACTGAACCTCCTCCTGAAGTACTCCTCCTTCTGGGCGTTGGTAAAGCCTCGTATTTCTGTTACTCTGGAAACACATGAAGGAGGGATCTGATTGGCTGCTGCAGGTCTGGTAGTTATCCAGATGAGAGCCAAGGGAAGCAGGTTCCCCTTGATGAGGTTTGTCAGCAGAACGTCGACTGATGACTTCTGAGTGACGTCAGAAACCAGCTGACTGTTGTTGAAGTCCAGTGAAAGTCTGCTTTCATCCAGACCATCAAAGATGAAGAGCAGTTTGCATTTAGCCAGCTGCTCTGCTGGGAACTTCTGGAGTGTTGGATGGAAAACATGGAGCAACGTGAGAAGACTGTGCTGCTCATCTCTGATCAAGTTCAGCTCCCTGAACGAAAGTAGAACCACCACACTGACATCTTGGTTCTCCAAGCCCTCAGCCCAGTCCAGAGTGAACTTCTGCACTGAGAAGGTTTTTCCAACACCAGCGACACCACAGGTCAGAACCACTCTGATGACTCCATCTTGGTCAGGGAAGGCTTTAAAGATGTCATGGCACCTAATTGCAGAGTCATGATGCTTCTGGATCCTGGAAGCTCTCTCCAGCTGCTTCACCTCATGCTGGGTGTTAACATCTTCACTCTGTCCCTCTGTGATGTAGAGATCAGTGTAGATCCTGTTGAGGAGGGTTCTACTTCCTGTGTAATCACTTCCTGTTTCATCACCTCCTTCAGTCATCCATTCACATCTCATCCTCAGACTGATCTTATGTTCCTGTACGACCTTCTGCAGACCAACATCTCCTGAAACACAGAAGAAAAGAAGTAAAAATATTTTTGCTTTAGTGATAAAGTTGGAACAAAACTATCTGGAACATTAGGAGGTGTTATTGTACGGTTTCTGACTTCACAGGATGTGATGCTAAACAATCAGATCCATCCTTAGCGACATTATTCTGTTATCAGATATTAAATGCAGCCCCTTACTCATTTTCCAGATTGGATGCTGCAATCTGAAGCCAACTTCTGCTTCATTTGGGTTTTCCAGCTCTTATTTAAAGCAGAACCTTACAGGCCTGGTGTAATAACCAATAAAAATAGAACAAGAGTCTTTTTCAGCAAAGTTACATAAACCAACTGGACAATTTGATAACCCATAATATTTTTGCCACGTCTCTCTTATTTCTTGCTTTATTATTATAATAATATTAAACCCTCCATTTATAATAAAGAATAGATTATCATTAATCAATATTGATGATGTTGAACAGAAATATCAACCAATACCTGATTGGTGCTCTGCTACATTTTTAAACCCAAATAAAACAACATGACATTGAGGACTTTATTGATCTATTTATAGTCCATTTATCACTTGTCATATACGTTTTATGGGTATTTTTCTGAATAGGCTCAAATTAAATGGGGACTATGTTAACCTGAGTTACCAACACATTTACATCGGCTGGAAAAACACAGATTTAGTTTAAATGATCAATTACAAAGAGACTGTTAAAACCTTGAATCTCCAAATCTCAACTAAAGACATGGATCTGGTTCAACAGAGACGATGAGAGGAAACTCTGAGATGTTCAGTCTCACCTGGAGCACAGCTGCTCCTCTCCCTCCATCCAGGAATATCTTCCCTCCATCCATCCATCCATCCATTGTCTATCACTTCTTATCTCTGCAGGGTCATGGAGGGACTGGTGCCGATGTTCAGCAGTAATCAGGTGAGAGCTGGGGTTCACCCTGGACAAGTAAAGACTTTTCTTCATCACTGAAATATTTCACTAACAACAGGCTGGAGCTGAAGATGTTTATGAAGATCCACCACAAATTAGAGACTAGAAACTGGGTCAAAACAGAACCTCAGATCATTGATGATCTCTGGTTTGAAGTTCTTCATTTCATTATATCTGGTATCATGATTGATCTTCCTTCCTTTGTCCATCTGAATTTGTTCTGGGACAATTATCATTATTCTGTCTGATCCGTCAGAGGCTGAAAGAAACCAGAAACTGACTCTAATCTGGATCCCAGTGGAGAAAGTTGGATCCTTCAGTAACACCAGTAAACACGACTCAGCCCTAGTTTGCATTGATCTGAGCTCTTTATAAAGAGCCTTATACTGTGGCAGAGCATAATGTGGACATGCTAGCAGAGCTAACAACAAGTTATCTAAAGTTCACGTCTTTTATTAGTCGTATAAATTTGGGTTGACTAAATCTGACCTCATGATAATCTTTTGGACTTTGGTTCTGTTCACTTTGTAGTTTTTTTTGTCCTGATTTATTGTTTGCAGTTGTAGTCTTTGTTACAGTCCATCTTTATTGAGCCCAGTTCCAGTTTTATTCAGGTGGTCTGGTTCCTTTTATGGACCTGGTTCTGATTTCCATCTGGTTCTGCTCATCTCGCCTCGTTCTGGGTTTCTTTGTCACCAAAAGCATTAAAATCAGGTTCTGTTCAGCCCGCCTGGTTTGTCTGGATAGAAGCTAAAATAAAGCTGATCTGATCTGATTGGTGTTGAAAATCAAATAGATTATTAAAATAACTGATCTCTACAGTCTAATATTAATAATCTTGACATTTTCACATCTGGATGTACTAATGAATTTAAAGAAGAGATCTGAGTTTAGAACCGGTACTGAGGACAACAAAGTCGACCCAAATGTCTGAATCAATATAAATAAATTGTTTTATCCACCTGTTGGACTGAGGTTTAACTGTTAATAAAACATTAACATGAAGACATTTTTGGCACTAATGGCTGATATTTAACAGTCATTTAACAGGTATGAAGATGGAGAGAGGAGAGGAAGATATGAAGCAAATGGTCTGAGACAGGAATCAAACACTCAACCTTCACATCAAGGTTTAACTCGACCAAAACTTTAACCTCTAAAACATTTATTATGTATTAAACAAAGAGTCACTGAATAAACTAGAGGCATAGAGAGCCTGAGGGATTTCACTTCAATAATTATCTATATTTACTGAAGTCCAAGCAGGTCATGGTAACCACAATGCATTCAGTGATTTTCTAATAACCAATAATTTCTTGATATATTGATCAGTTCTGATGAATCTAAAGCAGCTCTTTGTTTCTGAGTTTCTTGGTAAATCAGTTTTCTTTGGTGGATGGTTGATGTGGATCAAAGTGACATTTATTTAGTGAATTCAGCCTCACAGTCAGTCTGGGACATAATTATGTTTTTAGGATTTCATATTTTAGGAGATTATTTCACTTGTTATGAAAGGAAATTTTTTTGTTTTTCCTCCACAGTTGGTTCTGACCTCTCAGCCCAGTTTAGGTCACGATTAAACTAAAATGGTTTAAATTATTTTTGTCTTCTTGAACCAGCAGACAAAGAGTGCTAGAAAAAATAAGGATAGAGTGGTTTCGAATTGTTCATCGGTTTTTCTACAATATTTTCTTGTTTTATTTTTCCACACTGCAGCTTCTGTATTTTCTGAAAGTTCAATAAATGACTAAAACTGGACTAAATGTCTCATTCATAGAACATTGCAATATTCACATAATAATATGCATTTTACAAACTGACTCTTACAACAGCAATTATGTAAATTAAATTGTCTGATATGAAAACAAAATTAGCTTAGAGCGCTCTTGCATCTTGAAACTAAACCGGTTTGATTTAGAGTTAGAATATATATTTTACTTATCAAAGCATCAGTAATTTTATCAGCTTTGATTTAAGCTATATTTTACATAAATTGTATTAGAAATAAGGTGTTACAAACATTATTGTGACAGATTTTTGCACAAAGGCTGAAATACTTAGAAACTCCAGATTTAAATGACTGTGCATCACCTGAGCCAATGCTGGGTAACCAACCACAGCGAACATTCAGTGAATCTTTAAGATCATTCATCCTGCCTGATGTCACACTGAGCACTGAAGCAAAGAGAAAGTAAAAAAACAGGAGTGGTAAGAGATTTTTGAAGCTTTGAGTTTCTAACTAAAAACCTTCTGTTTTAGTCTGTCTGTTATTACTGTTTGAAAGAAATGTGTTTTTATGTTCATTTAGGTTTAAATTAGTTTCACGAGTCATCAATTTTAATAAATATCGTGGAACAGAAAATGGATGCATAATAAAGCCTCCTTTACATGTCTGCCTGTCTCCTCGTGTATCCATGCCTAGAACCAGTCCTGCTCTGCAGAGTCACATGAACCAGTTAGAAACTGGTTTCTTACTCTGGTTCTGATGGTCCAGGTTCAGTTCTGAAGAATGGATTGTTTCGTTTGGACTGGTCACTCCTCATGGAGGGACAGCTGGATCCTGGAGGTTCTGCTCTCCCTCTGTGGTTCTGACCTCTGAAACACAAACATGTTGTTATTCAGATCAATCAGTGAGAAACTCTGAGATAAAAACCAGAGAAGAAGCTCTGAACACAAACTGCTGCAGGTCTGAAGCTCCAGAGTGAAACATTCAGACTGATCTGTTGGTCAAACTGAACCTTCATTCAACTTTATTTGTTCAGTTCATTTCAGCAGCAAGGCAGTTCAAGGCGCTTTGCATAATAAAGACAGAAAGCTATAAAGAAAACACCAGGCATTCAACAACTGAACAGACATTATATTTGATGAGAGCATCACCAAAATCATAACCATCAAATATGTTGGTCACTGTTTCACTTATAATCAAAGCCACTCCAATCAGATGGTTTTTAGTCTTGAGTTAAAGACATTCAAGTGTTTTGACTCATACAGTTTTCTGGAAGTTTATACAATTTAAACTTTGACAAACTCACCTGGTTCATCTTCTTGTAAAAATCAGTTTAGTGACGTGATTGAGACGAGAGACTAGTGATGGAAAAGTTACTACAGAGTAAAGAGTCAACTAGTTGCTGCAACATCCAGTTCAGAGACAATCTGAGTCGTTGCTCCTCACACTGTTGGTGGTTTTTGTTTTCATGCAACATTTTCATCATTTTTCATTCAAATTCATTTACTGACCAACATCCTTCATGTTTAACTTTAAATTAATATGGAAGAAAATTAAGTTACTTTTTATAAAGCACTGAAAATCAACCAGTTAATATCATCTATATCTCTATAGATTCACATGAACCAGATAGAAACTGGTTTCTTACTTTCTGTCTGAGGGTCCAGGTTCAGTACTGAAGGATGGATCTTCATTTTTGGACCGGTCACTCCTCACAGACGGACTGATGGATCCTGGAGGTTTTGCTCTGTCGTCCTTTAGATCCTGATCTTCCATCTTCTGGACTTCAGTCAGCCTGAGAAAGAAACCAGAACCAGTCAGTGCAGTGATCCAGGTCCAGTAAGTGTCCTGTGAAGCAGAAAGCTGGTTCCCATCAGGAGTTCAGAGGATCAGAGGAACCTGATTCCTGCTCAACCTCATAAACTAAACGTCTCTTAAATACAGATGGTTTGTCTGGAATTGTGACATCAAACTTCTCCGTCTTTCAGACAGAAACAAGAAGCTTCTGCCAAAAACAAAACAAGAAAACATGAACCAGTAGAAATCACCAAGTACTGGACTGGTTCTAGTCTGACTACAGAACAGGGATTTCAACAGGTAACTTCTCATTAGAAAGGACAGAAGTCACCTGTGTTCTACCACAAGGTTCAATCCTATCTAACATCTGTGTTCCTGCTAGGTCAGGCTACAACAAAGTAATCAGATTACTTACCATGACTGAACAATATACAGCTCTACATTATGATATCACCAGGTGACCTTTGACCCCATCAAATCACTGAACAGATGCCTAGAACAGATAAATGTGTGAATGTGCCAAAACTTTCTCCAGCTGAACAGAAACAAAACTGAAATTATCTTTGGGCCTAAAGAGGAGCAAATTAGAGTTATAGATCTAGAGTTATAAATCTAGAGTCAGTGCACATCTTCAGTTATTACAACTGAAAACCAGCGATCAGCCTGAAACCTGGGAGTAGTGATGGACTCTGACCTGAACCTTCAGAGCCACATTAAGACAGTTACAAAGCCGGCCTTCTGTCACCTGAAGAACATCTCCAGGATTAGAGTTCTGATGTCTCAGGATTAGAGAAACTCAACAATATGTTTATATTTAGTTGCATTGATTACTACAATAGTGTCTGCCTAGCAAGATTAAAAAATCAATTGTCGAGCACTAACCAGAACCAGAACCAGGCCCAGTTCTGGTTCAGGTTATGTCCAGCAGCTCAAAGACAGAAAACCCAGTCAGGACTGGAAACCAGTAGAAAGTGGAGTTAAAACTCACCTGATCAGATCTTTGCTTCTCCTTCTGTTCACACAAACCGAGTCGGAGCCAACTGGAGAACTAGACCTGATTCTCAGAACTGAACCGGATCCACCTGAGGCTCCGCCCCCTCTGACAGCAGAGGTGTGTTCACCTGTTGAAATGGCAAGAATCCTGTCTGATCACTGATACCAGGAAATAAATGTTTAAAATAATGCATTCACATTTCAGTTTAAAGGTTTTTAATGTTTAAAATATATTTAGTATTTTAATCAATATTTTATTAAATTAATGGAGATTTTTAGTTTTATCTATAAAGAACTTTAACAACCAACAAATTTCTGCACAGAAGCACAAGAGCAATAAAACTAATAGTTTCTGCTTGTTCTAATCCGAGCCACCAGAACCAAGAACCTTGAAATGTTCATGCTTCTCCACATGTTGACACGACCATCTGGTATGTTAATATTTATCAAATACAGATTTTATTAATTTATTTAATCTTGTTTAATGTTGATCTGAAGGAAACTTTGATTCTCACCTGAACCTCTTTCATTCCTGAACATAATGTTCTTTAAGCTTTGTCCTCTTTTAGCCTGGAGGCTTTAAGTTGTTTAACTGGTTTGTCTCAAACATTCCAATGAAAAAGTTTAAAACTTGCTGAGTTACAAACATGTTTTAATCACTGTAGGCATTTACTGTGAGATGTTTGAGTTTCTGCCAGCTGTGCAGGAATGTGTCCTCGTTACCTCAGTTTGGGTTGAGGTTCATCGGTCACACAGAAGGCCCAACTCTACAATATTTTAATTTAATGTAGCAATGTCTTTGCTGCATTTTCTAACAAACTCCTTCTGATAAATTTTAAAATTTGAAATTTTAGAGATTGACTTGGTCTCTATTGGTTCTGGTTCTGGTTCAGATCAGGACAGATTGTTCAGATTGAACCTGACAGCTCATGGTTTTCCAGTCTGTCGGCTCTGCAGCCTCCAGTTCTTAAGAAAACAAACTTCATGATAATAGAAAAAGTTTCATCTTGCAGTCTAACAGAGACATGTCTCTGTCACCAGTTTGAACATTTTTTGTAACCTGAGAAAAACAGGGAAAACGTCTTCATGTCTTCATTACTGCAGATTAGTAGAAAAATTAAGGGTGAAAAATAATAATGAAGCATAAGCAGGGGTGAAAGTAGTTTTAAATTCTTGGGGGTACTATGACAAAAGGAAATTTATATATATATATATACACACACACACACACACACACACACACACACACACACACACACACACAC